AAGAGAAGGCTGAGGGGGGATCTTGTGGCCTGTTACAAACTGGTCAGGGGGGATCAGAAGGCATTGGGGGAGTCACTGTTCCCCCGAGCACAGCCAGGAGTGACCAGGAACAACGGTCACAAGCTAGCAGAGGGTAGATTTAGGTTAGACATCAGAAGGCGCTATTTCACGGTCAGGGCGGCTAGGGTCTGGAACCAACTTCCAAGGGAGGTGGTGCAGGCTCCTACCCTGGGGGTTTTTAAGAAGAGGTTAGATGAACACCTTGCTGGGGTCGTTTGACCCCAGTACTCTTTCCTGCCATGGCAGGGGGTCGGACTAGATGATCTTCTCAGGTCCCTTCCGACCCTAGAAACTATGAAACTATGAAATGTAGGTACTAATATTTTTGCTTCTAGGCAGATGAACCTGACCTACTCTGGATTCCTCCATCTCCAGGAGGGCATGAAATCACATTTTGCTCTTCCAATGTCTCTCATTATGAACTCCAAGTGGAAATAGGTAATATGCCTTGTCTGTTTAAATACCTTTCTGTAAACATGTTACTGTGGGAGGAAAAATGATACCCGTTAAATGGAAAACTAGAAACTGAGAAATATAAATGCTGTCCTTGATAGTCCCATACAAGACTATGTTCCCAGATCACTCTGAATGTTTGCACCATAATATTATCTGATTTCTCATGCTGTGAATGTTACTTATTAAAAATAAATATAATAGAAATTAATAAAGCTATGCACAAGCCCAACTGATTTTGATGTCTCTATTCATACTCCCAGATGAAAAAATAAAAAACTCCTATTGCTGCACTTTGTATGTGACCACTTTAAATATTGGAAGCAAGACTGGTAAAATGTCAAATTAGCACTGCTACTTTTGAATACTTGGTAGGTCTGAACTATTCACCAATTTGCAAGGTGTGTATAGGTTCTTCTGAAGAGGTTTATTTTGCCTTGATGTCACTTTCTCTGCTTAGGTAAAGACCAGTGGTGGCATTTTTTATACTGAATGTGCACAAAATAATTAGTATTTGTAAGACATTTTATTGGCAGAGAGCAATACAAGTTGTTTAAATAATCTTCCTTGGATTTAAATAACCTTCCATGGTTGAACTGGCTTATCGGCCAACATTAATTTTAAGCAAGTTGTGTTATTTGCATTCTCAGAGCAGTAGATTTGCTGCAGTTAATTTCAGTCTCAAGTATTTTAGATTTCCTTGATCACTATGTAAGGAAGAAATGTTGTGGACTTTTTAGGTGACTTTTTACGAAGTTAACAAAAGCAGTCAGATTAATTTTGGTTACAGGAAGAGGATTCAACAACTTAACTTCAGTCTACCTTGCACGACATATGCCTACAGGATCTCAAGTTGCTGTAAGGATCACAGACCTAGAACGCTGCTCTGAAGACCATTTAAAAGCTTTACAGGTAAAAGAGTGAGACATCTGTAAAAGTCTGATGGGTGCACTGTACTGAGTGTGTGTAACTGATGCACTGTACCAGAGACAGCCTCATTATATTAATTGGTACAAACTAAGTTATGCTGCTTCTTTATTACATGCCAGAGAATAAACCTGAGGATTTCTCTCAAAGTATTTTTTATCTAGTCATGCAGGAATCCTAACTGAAAACATGAGGCATTTATACATATAATTTTTTTCCAGTGACGCGCCAGAGATCTGCTGCTTTGGAGCAGACTTGATTAATCAATTAATCAAGCAGACTCAATTAATCACACAACTCGATTAATCAATTAATCGCACAGACTCGTGCATGTGAGCTGAGGTAAACTGCACTGCGCCATGTGCAATTATACAAGTGGTGAAATGTGCGTTAGCATGCAGAAAATGGTAGTGGTGCACTTTTGACCTAGTCATGCAGAAATCCTAATTTTTGGTTCAAAAGGGGCGTTTATACACATGGGGCATTTATACACACAATTTTCTTCCAGCAATGCACCAGAGATCTGCTGCTTTGAAGCAGACTCAATTAATTGATTAATTGTGCAGATTTGATTAATCACGCAGTTCGAGTAAGTAATTAATTGTGCAGACTCGATTTATCATGCAGACTTGATTAATCGCATAAACTTTGAGGTGCTTTAGTTCAAAAGGGCACCACCGTCATTTTCTCAGTGCTGATGCCACTCAGTGCTGATTTCACCACTTGTACAACTGCACGTGTTACAGCACTGGGCACTTTTCAAAGCACCCGGAGCTGCAATGTATGCATGTGTAAAAATGCCCACTAATTCTATGTTCTGCACTAGCAGGTGAAGTCTGAGTTTCTGCTATGAACAGATTATATTTGATAGATACTGATACCTAGAGCTAGTTGTATACATTTTCTTTGCAGGTTGTGTAAATTATCTGTAACATACAGTGGACATATGGTCATACAGTGGAATTCCAAATTTTTAGGTGGCCAACTTGCATGTAAAGGACAAACTTTAAGGATACCAGGGACCTATATTGTTAAGACTTTTGTCTAGATGGTTGTCTTCTAAATAACTTGTTTAATTTTCTAGAATGAGGTGGTGCTATCCCACTTTTTCCAGCACCCCAATGTAATGACACTTTGGACAGTGTTTACTGCTGGAAGCTTGCTTTGGGTCATCTCTCCATTCATGGCCTATAGTAAGTATTGTAATAGTAAGTGTAAAATATGTATGCTACTTAAGTAATTTTGGACAGTGTCTATGCAAGGCCTTTGGCTCTGGAAGAGACAGAAGGGATGTGATGAAAGAAGACATGTCCTCATTGGACATGTACTACATAGCTTAGACAGACCTGTGCATTTTGCTTTTTAAGAAAAGTAATGTGGATTGGCTATAAATGCAAGACAGCAGTTAATGGAAACAAGACATAAATTGAGGAGGCTTTGTGATCTTTCTCTATTGATCTTCCAGACTAATGACTTTACTTTGTGGTGACTTTTTTCTTCATTGGAAGTTTTTCCACTGTATCGTAGTCATTGTAAAGAATGGAGAGTTTTCTTCTTGGGATAATTGCTCAGTGCCTTGCACACAGTGTTTAATTGCAGGTTTTGTAGTTATTGTCTCTCTAACCTACTTGCATGCTTTTTTAGCTATGTTTTTCTCTTTCAGGTTCTGCTAGTCACCTATTGAAGAATTATTTTCCTCAAGGAATGAGTGAAGCTTTGATAAGAAACATTCTGTTTGGTGCTGTTAGAGGGTTAAATTACATGCACCAAAATGGCTTCATTCACAGGTATGAAAGACAGTGCCATGTGTAAGAATTAGATTATAGTAATACAGAAGCTTGTGGCTAATCATTGTTCTATTTAGTTTACCAGCAGCCTAGCAGCTTATGTCAGATTCTTTGAAAAGAAGAGGAACTCCCCCTCGCTTTTTTTATAAATGGAACCCCATTTCTAGCATTTCTTACCAACTGTTAAGTGCTGTAAAGAAGTAGAGTGCTCACTGTAGTCATTTTTTTCCAGCCCTAAGGAAACAGATATGCTACTTCATGTTCTCTGGCCCAATTTGTGTATGTCTACAGATGCTGTTGCTATTGTTCTGTTGCTATAAAAATATATTGTTAAATGTCCTAAACCACTTCCTTCAAGGGTGTTCTGCATTGTAAATTCTAGGGGTTGCCCTATAAAACATTCTTTATGTGTTGCTATTTGATTTAATTCCATGTTTTCTTATTCTTTTTTGGGCTTAGATGAATGGGAGCAGCTGCATGCTTTTCATTAGACTATCTATTAATGTTGTGCATTACTTACTTACTGAAAGCTAAAAGGGATTATATTTTCCTGGCTTCCAGAAGGAATTCCCAGCCCTGAGTTAGTTGTTAAGCTTTCTATATATTACAAGAGGAATGTTGGAAAAGTTGCACAGGGGGGTTGTCTTAAATCCTGCCCTTGTTGGGGAAAATTAGGGGCATAGGTACCTATAACAGATTTGGTTTCACAGCTTCAGACTCTTGTCAAGTTGGGACTTATGTTGTCCCTTCAGCAATAGACCAGGGGTTTCTTTTTTCTTTTACAACTTTGCTGGAGGAGGTATATTATAGAAAAATAAGGCAGGGATGGATCTGAAGAGGCCTTCTAGGCCTCTTGACTCGGGGGTTGGCAACCTTTTAGCACCACAAGCTGGTGCTTGTAACCCAGCTCCTTGCCATGGCTTGGAAATTGTCACCATTCCTTTCCCCTCTGGCGACAGAAAGTATTTGATTTGGAGTGCCAAAGGAACAGAGGAGGAAGGGCTGGAAAGTTAGCAGATGCTGCAGCAGGTGAACATGGCAGATGATAGGACCTTGAGGACACTACCTCTGCTATCCAGGCTGCTGCAGGCAGATGAAATAGATCAGTAGCTCTCACCTTTTGGGGGCTTGCAGGACCCCTCCATAACTTTGGCATCTTAACCCTTGAGTAGATTTCACTGAAATGTCTCCATCCCACCTTTTGGATCCCATAAGCCAAATATTTCTCATTCACCCTTCTGAATACATGTTTGAAGCCCCAGTGTATTTTCCTCCTTTTCCCTTCCTCTATAGCTCTGAGAACATCTTTAGTCCATTGATGCCAGTGTGTATAGAGTCCTTACATTTTGCACACATGGTAGTTCTAGTCTGAATGTGGAAATATTTGACTCAAGTGGGTAAAAGTTATTCAAATGTAATACTTGTAACCTGATTTAAACAGATGCTGAATAGAATGTAATTTAACCCTCTAACAATAGGAATACAATTCTGGTGGCATATAGAACTGTAGCTTTGATTCCTGACCTTTCAAATGCTGTGTTTCTCAAATTGTTTTGATGGGACACTTCTCATATATTGGGGAAGTGTGGAAGGGAAGGGTGCATCAGCAAGGTTGTAATAAAATCAGCAGGGTTAGCATAAGCACTAACTTTGGATATAAGATTCAGTGTTTGACCTAACTATATGTATAAATATACCCCATCTCTCCAGCATGCTGATCTTCTAGGTGGTCTGTAGCTTACTTACTTGGTGAAGCCATTTCAGAAATATTTTATTGAATGGATGAAAGAGAGGATTTGAGTGATTCTTATAACTGAGTTTCATTACTTTGTGTTTCAGGAATATTAAAGCTAGCCACATTCTGATTTCAGAGGATGGTCTGGTTTCTCTTTCTGGTTTAAACAACCTCTACAGTTTAGTTAACAGTGGACAGAGGTCAAAGATTGTATATGATTTCCCTCAGTTTAATACATCAGTGCTTCCTTGGCTGAGTCCTGAACTGCTGAGACAGGTCAGTGTAAATTATTCTTCATTTTGCCTTTCCAGGGTCTCAGGATATAGTAGTCTCTTTTTTAAAAGTTATGTTTGTTAGGCTTACAAAAGAGCAGTAGAGGCTGCATGTTTCAATCTTTAATATTATATTTCAAGGTATGCAACTTTGCCTCATATAAAAATATATATTTTAAAAGTGGAGCTGGCTATCTTGATATCTCTACCCCTCCTTGCTTGTTGCTTCTTGAGGAAATGATCCTAATGGAAATAGTTGTTTCATGGCAACCTGAAATTTACTGCATTCATACTAAGATTTTCTTCAATACAGATGTCTGAACTCTGAAACCTATTAACAATGGATAGGCACATTTAAAATGCTATTAGTCAGAGAGCCCCATTCAGTGTAACTTGGTCACAACTTGTTGGCTACTGGATACTGGAACTGAGTCTTGAAACTGTATTGTATGCATAGATATTTACATTGCATGCTTTCTGCAGCATGGTCTTTAGCTTCTAAGGAAATTATGTAATGCTTGTTCTGTCCCATAGGATTTATATGGGTATAATGTGAAGTCTGACATTTACAGCGTGGGGATTACAGCATGTGAATTAGCCAATGGACATGTTCCATTTCAGGATATGCCTTGCACACAGGTAAAATGCCGAATACTCCTAAATCTTTCTCAAAACTTTGTGGAACCTTTTTGTTCCTTAAAGGAACTAGTAACATTACTACAGAATATGATAAAAAAGTGGTGGTTTTTATTTTTGTGATTTCAAGCTTTCATGCTGCTTTGTAGAACAAAAGAATTTTCTACTCCTGACTTTTCTGAAGTTGAGACAACCATGGGAGTCTGTTATAGGGCCTTTCCTTGCTAGTAGATGCTGTAATAGCTGAAAGGTTCCTTTTATTCCTCTTGGGCCATGGAAGTCTGTTATAGTGCCTTTCCTTTCTACTAGATGCTGCTGCAAAAGCTGAAAGGTTCCTCTTATTGCTCTTGGGATATAAATACCTTCCCCCATGGGGAATCCAGGATGAAGAATTCCCGATCATGCATTGATTCTGGAATTGGTGAAAGCATGACGCACACAATGACTAGTGAGAGACTGCATGTTCCATTCTCAAAAACATTTTCCCCTGCTTTCCACAATTTGGTAGAACTCTGTTTGCAACAGGACCCTGAAAAAAGGTAATTTGTCTGTGAACAATACCATACATTCACTGTTACAGATTAAATGTCTTCTCTATGAGTAGGGACCTAGCAAATTCATTATTTTGCGGTGTTTGTGGAAACTGAGAATTTGGTAGGTCCCCCATGAAAAATCCAGGTCCCCATTAGGGTTTCCAACCCTCCCGGATTGGCTGGGAGTCTACCGGAATCAGCATTGATCCCCCGGTGACTACTGAAAGCAATCCAGGAGATTGATATGGTGAACGGGTTGAACAGTACAATTAATGACATTATGTCATGCTGGGAAAAAAAATCTCCTGGAATAGCTTCAGTCAGACTTGGTTATTTCGTGGGAACCCAGGGAGGGACAGGAGAGGCCCCCACACTACTGATTGGTTGAGGGGCCCTGGAAGCCCCACCCCTTCCTGTAGATTGACAGTTGGCATCTGTCAATCTCCAGGGAACAGCAGGACTTCTGGGGCCCCTCAGCCAATCAGAGGCATGGTGTGGGGGGCATTGCTCTCCACTGCGAAAATAGTGCCTGACACTTTATGGACTCCTATAAAGGCTGAGAATTACACGGCCATGAAATGTAAACATATTGCCTGTCTCAAATGAAAATTGAGATGTAGAAATAGGATAGAGAGCTCATCTTTCTCTTCTTATACTTCATTTTTCCTGTGGATAAATAACCCTAAGGCCTAGCATGCACTCTCTACAGACAACAATGCTTAATTTTCAAACCATAATGAAGATTTTTTTTCTTTGTTATGACCCAGGCCATCAGCAAGCAGTTTGCTGTCTCACACTTTCTTCAAACAGGTGAGCTAAATACATTTGTATTATTGTGAGAGGAGCTAACTGCAGCCTAAGTAAATGGCAAAATATTATGAAGTTTGGTTACAGATAAGTAAAAGAAAAAGCAGCTGAAACCTTAAAGACACCATATAATAGTAGGGGGCCTCCAAGCAGTTCTTGGATAAAATATCATAGGATTTTATACCATCAGCATGTTGTGTGTTGCACCACACCATGATCCCATTCCTGTGTTAAACTGAGTCTGAAAATGATGATTATTTAATAATGACTACATTCAAGGTAGAGTGAGCTTAACTTTAACTTTAATTGCAAATCAGGCTAATCGCTTCACTAGCATTAACCATTCCAGTCCCGTCTACTCTGGAGTGAGGGAAGCTGGTCATAAACTCTGCCTTCTCTAGTCTGATAATGCAGAAAGGGGCTGATGTACTGTTTTATGCAGCTTTAGGGGAGATGTGCACAATGTTTAAGTGAACTTGTATATACTGCACTGTTCTATTCAGCCTGGTTTCTTCTCCTCCTCAGGTAAAAGAACAAACAAAGAGTTCATTACTTTCACTGTTGCCACCTCCTGCCCAATACAATAAAGCACAGTTCCTGGCACTGCCCTCAACAGAAGTTGGGACTGAGCCTGGATGCATTTCCCAAAATGAGAGAGTCGCGGAGTGGGAATTCTAAAATGATGCCAAACTGTCATACCTCCTTCATACTTCAAAGAAAGAAAATGTGATTTTGACTTGCTGCTTTTCTCTGTATTGATTTAAATACAAACAGCAGACATACTTGAACACACAACTGTGGTAAAGAGACAAATTGACCTGAAGAATTCTGTTCCTAATCTGGTCTTACAGCAGTGCAGTAGGCCTCACTTTCCTGACTGCAAGGAAACCATCACAGTAAGGGTGTGTTCATGCCCTGTTCTCATTCCTAGCCATCCTTATGTGATATCACATAGCAAGGCTGCTGCTGTACTCTGCTCTGGTACTACACTTCATCAAATTTCCAACTAATACTACTGCGGTCAACTACATTCTTGAATGCAGATTCATGTTGAGCCTTCTCCAGTCACTTTATTATGGTCAAGGAACTGGTTTGTCTTGGTACAAAGTCTGACGATAATGCAGCATAGGAGCTCAGTCATTGGGTGGTAACTTTTTTTCATAGCATGCAATTGATTTGCTTGATTATACAAGTGAATGTTAGACATTTTATACATATGCAATGGCAGGGTTTGTGCTTCTCCTCACCTGTAGTGTCTTATCCACTTGTTCCAGCTGAAGGATGTTTTTTCACCTTGGGCTGGTGTTGTCAAGCCATTTGGACAGTTGTATACTGTTGTACAGAGAAGTCTACCCACTTTGCATCTCTCGTTCTTTCATTATATCAATGCTTTTGTCTTGGTGGTCTCATCCCAGACTTTATTTCATCACCCTAAAAATAAAGGACCTAACATGATGCCTGGTAAATCTCAGCTTGTAACCTTTAACTTAAGTTGTCTGTTTCTTCTGAAACACTCATTTTAAATACTTTAAATACTTTTAATAATATAAAGATCTTAGGTTGGACAGTAAAAGTAATTTACCTATCCAAAAGTCCGGAAACCACAACTGTGCATGGAACAGTTCCATTCAAAAAATTCATAAAGAAACGTTCCATTCAAAAAAATCACAGGCTTGCAAGGTTGGAAGAACTGTCCTCTGCCTTTGAAGTTCAATGCTACGTACCTGCAGGCTGGAGCCTTTTGCACAATGCTGAGTTTTCTAGTTTAAGTGTTGAATTAAGATTCAGCCCTGGCAAGAGAAATTTCCCTTACCCAGGGTCTGTAGGAGCCTTTAAGCATGTTTTGTTTTTTTCACGTTAGATCATAACTTTGTTACGTGGAGGATAATTTAATAAATCAACATTACTTAATATTATTACAGATAATGATTCACAGTAGACTGGGAGAGGATTAAGCAAGACAACTGAGCAAGGCAAAGAGAGCCCAAATTTAACTCGAGCCATGTTATCTCAGAAAATCAAGACTATAGCAAATATTACTAACACCATAATTTTAATTTAGGCATGAATATCTATGTAACATTTCAAGTATAAAACACTAAGTTTGTGTTTAATAACTTTATTTCAGCTACATGCATTATGTTCTGAAAAGAGATGAGGCTGTATGCAAAAATTGTGTACTTCTGCTTTGCCAGTAGGGCCAGACCACTACAAAGAAGACTGACTTAGGAAAAAATATGCAAGCCTGGCAGAAGTGGAAAATAGAGGGGCAAATGTAAATCACTGCAAAAGGAAAATTATTAACAGATGATGATGGTTATTCCTTCACTATTTATGTGCTTAAAGGATCTTTGTTTTCTCCTACCTCACTCTGAAATATAAATTGTAAAACCTGCCAATAAACTCAACTTCTTACCTTTTATTCTTAATCTGTTACATTGTGTGTAGGGTAGAAATTGCACTGAATTAGTTCTTAACCAGGGTGCTGTGAAATCTTTTTTAAGGGTGCCTAGCGGCTGTATTAGCACTTGCACACAGTTGACAAGATAAACTCAGAGATTTCAGCTAGGAATCCGTAGAGTAAAAAACATTTCAACCTGTTGTGGCCTTCCTGACTTCTTTACAACAGAAGAATTGCTCTATCATTTTTCTATTAAGAAATGTATGAAAGCTAAGAGCTGCCACTTTCTGAGGGATGCCCTGAGTCTAGTAAGGGGTGCCTTGAATCTAAAATACTTGAGAATCATTGCACTGTACCTTAAGTATGCTACATGTTGTGTTCTAAGTACAGAGCAGCTACAGTGAGGAGTAGCAGTAGCCACCTCTTGCTACGCCTCTTGTTACCCCTTTTGCTTAACAAACTGTCTTTGAAAAGTCTCCTCAAGCTCCCTGGGATTAGCTTTATTTTGTTAATATCAGCAATTCCACAGATGGTCCATCCACAGCACGTCCATAGCTCATGTGGAACTGGGGACCAGCGGCACAACCAGTTCTTTGGCTAGGGACAGAAGTTACACATAAACCGGTTTAAGCGATCAGAAACTGGTTTAAACCTATAACAGAACAGAAGCTCAGTGCACATAAAGCAGTTTCAAAATGGCTGAAACTGGTTTAAAATACACCTGGTTGAATGTAGTCAGATCAACACCCCACATTGAGGGAGAGATTGGGGCTGGGGCTGGGACCAGGGCTACCCAGCTGGGGCAGGGGGGCATGGGACACAGACGCAGCTTGCTCCAGGCAGGCACAGCGGTGCTGGGAGCGGGAGCTGTGCCCTGTTGCTGCCCGCCCAGCTGCCCAGACAAGCAGTGTGCAGTGGTGTGAGCCACTCCAGCCTCCCCACGCCTCCTGGACGAGCCACGGCTTTGCCCCATCCCACCCTGGCTGGGCAAGCAGTGGCAGGGCATGGTGGGGGCATGTGCCCTGGATCTGTGCGGGGCAGCCGGAGCCAGGGCTGCACTGGGCTGTGCTCTGGGCAGCAGGTGAGGGCTATGGGGAATTTTAGGGTGGCTGCGGCCCCCACCATTAAGCCCTGCTCTGCCGCCTGCCCCACACAGATCTGGGGCGCACACTCCCGCTATGCCCTGCCACTGCCACTGCTCGCCCAGGAGGCTGGAGCGGCTTCTGCTGCTGCATGCCACTTCTCTGAGGCAGTGCAGCGCCCCTTTCCTGCACCTATGAATGAGCATGCTATATTCTGCAAATGGACTATAATTTTCCTGTGTTAATGTTGGCATTCAAAAGAGGAAATAAGACAAAAGTTGAAGTCCTCTCCCTCACATAAGTAAGCAAGCAGGGCCTCAGCCAGTGTTTGCTCTGTCCCAAGGCCAGAGCTGCCATCAGGCACTTGAAGCCACTCCTCTTCCCCCAGGGGTCACCCTCTGTTGCAATCTGTAATGAAAAGGGAAGGCACCCAGGGTAAAGGCAGATTAGGGGGCTGGAGGGAAACTTTTTCTGGGAGAGTTTTACTACTGTAGTAAGGATTTTCAGAGGCCTTTTATACTACTGAGTGTTCCTGAAGAAAAAAAGTAAAAAAGACTGACAATGAGAATCTCCCTGTACACGTTTCCCTCAATTTATATGGGTTCTGTGTGAATTCGCTCTTATGCGATGAGCATATTTAGACCCATAATGAATTATATGTGAGGTAAATTCACCCTTATTTGATCAATATGGATGCTCCCCTGCCCAAGCAGGTAAGTCTGAGTGAGGAGGGGAAAGGACCATGACCCCACTCACCCCAGCCCCAGCTGCAGCGGCCCCTGGAGCAGCTGGAGCCAGTGGCCTGCAGCCACTGAGCTGCACCATGCTCCACCTGTCTCCCCATGCCTGGGCTCCACTTGTCCCTACTCACCTCTGCTCCTGGGCTGCGCCATGCCCTGGTGCAGGCAGCTGGTGTTGGCTGCTCCTGGGGCCACTCCAGCACAGGCTGGGGTGAGTGCCATGCCCTGTGCTGCCCAGGGCTCTAGTTGTCCACAATCACCCCAGCCCATGCTGGAGCAGCCCCAGGAGCAGCCAACACCAGCTGCCCGCACTACAGCATGAGCCCAGGAGCAGAGGTGACTGGGGACAAGCAGATCCCAGAAGCGGGGTGACAGGCGGAGCACGGTGCAGCCCAGCGGCTGCAGGCAACTGGCGCCAGCCACTCCCAGGGTGGCTGCAGCCAGGGCTGGGGTGAGTGCTGCTCTGGCTTTGCTTTGCTGCCCTCTGCTTTGCTGCCTTGTGGAACTCTGGGAGCAGCTCCCCTCTCCCCCGTCCCTTCCCTAGTCCCAGCCTCTCTCCCTCCCTCACCACCATGGGAACCTATCCCTATTTGTTACATGTAAAGTGGGTTCGCTTTATGCAAATTGGATTTATGTGCCATTCTCCAGGAATGCATGTACTGCATAAGTTGTGGGAAACCTGTAGTAGGAAGGACTTATGTGAAACCCTATACACTGCTGATTCTCGTCTCAGATATCTGTAACATTTTACAGCCTGCTTAGAGTTAGCCAGGAAAAACATGAGCAACCATGAGGTGCTTGATTGAAGCCACTGAGAGCAGAGCAGCAGCTGGACTCTGATGAAGGTCTTCCAGCACCACACCAGCATTTGCTGTATTTGGGATAGACAATAGAGATTCTGGAACTGCAGGACCTGTAGGTGAAAGAGATCAACTTGCCTGAAACTTAATTTTTTCTGAACAGGGTTGAAAAACTAAGAGTGATGTAAAACAAAAGGAGGAGAGTAGTGCAAGCATCCTGACCAGCCACTGGCAGATGTAGGAGAAGTGGGTCAAAGAATATTGCCAAAGGACCTTGGAGTACCTTCATCTACTGCTAATTTATTATGTTCCCCAAGCTATAGTTAACTGTGTCTCCCCTTTTCCCTTGCAAATTTCTATTTAGTTTCATAGTTTCATAGTTGGTAGAGTTGCAAAGGACCTGAGCAAGTCCGACCCCCACCACGGCAGGAAAGAGTACTGGGGTCAAATGGCCCCGGCAAGGTGTTCATCCAGCCTCCTTTTAAAGACCCCCAGGGTAGGAGCCAGCACCACTTATCTTGGAAGTTGGTTCCAGATCCTAGCCGCCCTGACCATGAAGTAGCGCCTCCTGATATCTAGCCAAAATCTACCCTCTGCCAGCTTGTGACTGTTATTTCTTGTCACTCCTGGTAGTGCTTGGGGGAACAGGGATTCCCCCAATGCCTGCTGGTCCCCGCTGACCAGTTTGTAAACAGCCACTAGGTCTCCCCTCAGCCTTCTCTTGTGGAGGCTGAACAGGTTCAGGTCCCTTAACCTCTCCTCATAGGGCCTGCCCTGCTGACCCCGATCATGCGGGT